TTTGTATTTTTTTCTTGAACTTCAGAGGTTTCCTTGAATATATGTGAATAAGCAAGCGCCCTTCCGATAGATCAACGGTATCAACGTGTCCAAGTCGGCCTCCAATATTTTTCAAATTCGTATCAGTCCATAGGTGCAAAGGCATCCCAACAAACGTCACCCAAAAAGGAATAATCCAGGGATAGTCATCATGAACTATAGGCTCCCAACGTACCAACACGAACATGCAAAAATTGTAATGAAACGGTCCTTGCCGGAGCACCGAATTGAGATCTTCTTCAGAGGTGAAATTTATTAAAAACTTCCCTTTGCCCAGGTCATTCGCTGTGACACGATCTTGAACACCCCACTGGCCGGGCATTGTCTGAATCAACCGTTCAACATTTTGCTTCTTAGGGTTAAGGATCTTCCCAATCAAGGACATACGGAATTCCTTAATCACAAACGCATCGTCTTGCTCCGTTAATTTGATCGGGTCATCATCATCATCATACAAAACCCCTTTCCCTTTAACATCTGCCATATGAACAGATCGTGAGCGATCCATTGGTGCCATACAGCCAGAGTGTATCAGCCCGAGACTCTACAACAAACAGCGAGTGAACGTAATGATGATATCTCCAAAGGCAGAGAACTCCCTCCGTGAGTGATGATAAAACGGTGATATTGCTGAGACTGTGAAAACAAACGAGAGTACGTGAGGCACCGAGCAAAGACTCGTGTGCGACGTAGATGCCGTGACTGTGAAGAGAAACCGTTGATCAGCCGCCGTTGAGACGAGGAACGACGAGGATCGTTCCACCACGAGATGCTGATCGAGCTCCAATGAGAGTCTCAGCCAGATCTGATGATCGCCGCCACACTATCTCATGATGATCGCCGCAGAGCCCCTAGGGTTTTTTTTTTTTTTTTTAAAATAAACTATTTTATGATACTTTAAAATTAGTTAATTGCAGATGAGTATATAGTCAAAATTAAACTGTTACTAATATACCATGTTATTTGATGATTTTTATGCAGGGTTTAAGTCTAGAGAAGTTGAGTGGCTAATTTGTTTGGAAGGTTCAACAAAAAAAGATCTATGTGTGTATGGGTATTCTTTTTTTGTTTTTTTCTAATTTTGGTTCAAGGTTTCGTTTAGAGAATGTGACTGCTAAATTATATATTGACTTTAGTCTTGGTGTATTTTCATTTAATTTTAAATTCGGTCTTTGTATTAAGTAATCGAATGACTGCTCCAGGAAAAGAACTTGTAGTTTAAACAACCTAAATGCAAATTCCCATCATAATACCATCGTCTTAGTTGGCTTTCAAGAAATGATTGAGAACATTCACGGAAACATGTAAATAAGTTATACAGTATCATTCACATGATCACTACTTATCTTAACTGGTGTATGTTTAAGTTTAACCTATGATAGATGATTCTGCAAGTCAATAGAAACCAAATTTCGGATTACAAAATCAAATAACCATAACTTAACTAGCATGTAATACAAAATGAATTCCAGTTTATAACTATTATTCATTCAATTCCAGTTTATAACTATTATTAATTTAGTTGCTAAAGTTTATACGAAATTAAGTTGATAAACTGAACTAACCAAACCGGTAATTTAAAGAATTCTGGTGAAGACTAAAGATTACCATTATCACATAAGATGGCAATCATATACCGAATCTCAAAATCAAATTCCAGTTTATAACTATTATTAGTTTCGTTGCTACAGTTTATAAAAAAAAATCGAATTGATAAACTAAACTAACCAAACCGGTAATTTAAAGATTTGAGTTAAGACTAAAGATTACCATAACCACATAAAATGGCGATCATATACTGAATCTTAAAATTTATAGTCAGATTATGAAAAGAAATTTAGTGGAAAATCGGAAAACTTACTAAATGTTTGGAAATTTTATTAAAAGAAATGAAACTTTTATTTCACATAATATGACCATATTATGATATTTTATAGAACTATAAAATCTTAATAACATAGAATATCATTTTTGTTGTACGCAATATGTATTAGTACCTTCATGATTTTCACCTATATTTGAGAATAAAAACAATACAAATCAGATATCAAATCGTAACAAAAGAATGAGGCAACTCTTATGGTGTCCCCATTTGTGACAGAGTCGATCTCCTATGGATCTCTCAAATCTCTTATGCCCTCATGAAAATATGAATATCTGATTTTACTTTTTTCTTTTTTTAATTAAAAATATTTTCAAAATTTTAAAAATTCAAATTTCAAATTTGAATTGCGAAAATTTCAAAATTTTGAATTTCAAAATTAAATAACTGTTTTCGTTGTTGTACTAGGTTATATTTTGTTATACCAAGTAATACGAGTTAGTTATACTGAATTTTTATTAGTTATATTAAGTTATACTTGGTATTACTGCATACCACTAGTGAATTAGAAATACCTAGTTCTACTGAGTTTTACTAGTTATACTGGTAATACTAGTGTGAGTTAGATTTACCGAGTTACACTAGTTATACTAGTTATCCCCTATACATTAGCTATATCCTACGTGGCATCTCTCTTTGCTTTCTATTTCAATTTAAAAGGATTCTAGAACACCTCATATAAAGTATAATTTTGAAACAATGTCCGTTGGTTTCATATAAAACATATCAAACTAAATAACATATCAAACTAAATCTCCTATATATATTCTTTCCTTAAAGAAAACCTACAGAATTACCCAATGTGATTAAGATATATATGACTATTAATGATTTTAAATAATAAAGACTAGGTGACCGGCCCGCACCCTATGCGGGCATAAGTATGTTCAAAAAATTATTATAATAGTGTATCGGTTTAGAAGTAACGGATTGTACATCATCATACTACCATGTTTTGGAGAAACCCCACACCATGGAGAAAAGCCGGTACTCAATATTTGACATTGTATGAGAGGGTATAAAATAACGCACATGGTGCGAACAGTTATTGTGTGTATGTATAATTGTAAAGTCTCAAAATAATTAGTGTGTTTTACGAAAATATTTTCATTCATCATCTAATGGATTTGCCAAGACTTCTTATAAATAGTGTACAGTTTTAGAAGTAACAGATTTTATATTATCCTTTGTAATTAGAATTGTATTGTATATATGTTGTAATTTTTATTTTTAGGTGAATAATAGTATTATGTTTAATTTTCATAATTATTTCTGTACACATATTAAAAGAAAATATAATAAATTTCAAAATAAGCTCCCAAAATAAAATTTAAATTATTATCCATAAATAATATAAATTTATGAAGTACAAAATCTCGATAAAGGTGTAGCAAATCCATTGGAGACCTGCAAAAAAATATTTTAGTTTGTAAGCCCTAAGACCGGATAACATTCTGTGATAGATATAAAATAATTTCTGAATTTTATTATTTGATGCTAATAAGTATAAAACTAAAAACATGGACACTGGGAAAATAAATAAAAATTAAAGAAAACATGCACAAATCAAATACTGAGATTCATCCACTTTGACATGCAGCATGGACTTCAACTTTCTCCATTTCTTTTGGAGTATTAAGCAGCTCATATAAGAGTTCATTAATGCTTCTATAACAGGAGGTCCAGGTTTCAAATTTCCGGAAAGACGATTTATTAAACAATTATGCAGGATAGTAGTATTGTCGGTTGTCGAATCGTCTATGTAATATTTTTCATAAAATATCATGATAAATCAGCGTTAAAAAAAACAAAAAAGTTCCTAGCAAAATTTAGTCTAGGCAACATTAAAAAAAATATTTTAACACTAAACCCTAAACTCTAATCCTAAACCCTAAACCCTTGGGTAAATCAAAAACACTAAACCCTAAACTCTAATCCTAAACCCTAAACTCTTGGATAAATCATAAACACTAAACCCTAAACTATAATCCTAAACCCTAAACCCTTGGGTAAATCATAAATATTAAATTTTTAAAATACTATAAGATTTATCTAAAGGTTTATGATTTAACCATGGATCTAGGGTTTGTGATTATAGTTTAGGGTTTAATGCTAAAATATTTTCTTTAAAAAGAATTATTTTCTTTTTTATTCATTTTTTATTTATTTATTTATTTTCTATTTTTATTTTTAAAAAGATAATATAACTTAATAAGATTTTCTTTCCTTTTTTAAAAAGATATCAAATATGAAATAATGTAATCCTATTGGATGGGTTCACCCCTAGGGTGAACCCAAGAATAAGTCTATTCCAATTCATCATATTTGAGAGCATTAAATTATTTTTGTCCACGGATATCAATAAAACTATATAGATAAATGTCTTTGAATTGTAGTATCAAATATGGTTCCAAGATTGCTCTGGATGGATTTGTTTTCTTTTATAGAAATCAATAATATTTATTTCTTAAATTTTCTTTATTTTATGATATATAAAATCAGTCTTCCACATCATCCCATTGATACTTAAAATATTGAAATAGTATTATTCACTTAGCATATGTGCACTAGAAGTTTTTGTAATTAGAATCTTGAAAAAATGTAAAAACAAATTATATTGATATTTAATTAGATGGTCTTCTTAAAAGCTTTACAATTCTATTCTAAAATCTCTCAAATAATTTTCTTAAAAAATCATCTAAGAAAATATGAAGATGTTAATTAATTAGGTTTATCAATTGTTGAAACCTGATACTCATGTCTCCGGCCATCACTCAAGTCGCAAAGGGCCTTAAAACTACACATTTATACGGAAAACAACCAGCTTCTTTGTTACACAATCAAGAAGGCTTCAGTGAAACTTGCTATCGTATCAATTTTATTATACAAAGAGTAAAGACTTAATCACCAGTAAGTGAAACTCGTTGTCATATATATGCTAATCACCAAACAAAGTGTCACTCAAGCATATTGCAACTTATGTTGCTCTCTCTCTCTCTCTCTCTCTCTCTCTCTCTCTCTCTCTTTCACTTAGTCATTATAGATGATTCAGTGCGACCTAAACCGTTGGCTTTTTTTTTTACATTAGAAGAAACCCAGCAGGTTCAGTTCTTGCAGCATAACCAAACTTGGATGTGTTGTATTTCCTGTAAACACCTGTTAGCTTCCCTGTCCCAGCCTTGTGATGCAAGCCAACCATCTTCCTCGAACACTCCAGAAGCTTTTCTTCGTTGTAGCCTGAGTAGAACTCGCAGGTCTTGCTCCACTCCTCGAAGCCTTTAAGAGTGGTCTGAGCAGTGTAGATCGCTGAAGCAGCTAACTGAGAAGGAGCGTACTGAAGCATCTCGTAGTCCACTAAGCAAAGCTCTATGATGAAGAATGATAGAAGCTCCACCTGAAAACACACAAAACTCACATTTGATTCTATATAACCAAGTGAGAACGATATGATCAAAGAAAGTTATTAAACAAACCTTTTTGTCAGATTGTGCAGCTTTCAGAAACCTCCTCATGAACACATACGGAGTAGGCAGACAGAAATTGAATTGCAAGGTATTCGCCATTAACTTCTCCTGCAAGAAAAAAAACCCATTAACACAATGATCATCTTAACTTATAGAGAGCATCCATAGTTATGATCATTTTTACCATGTCAAGAACTTCTCTTCTAGTGTACGCCTTGTCAGAGATCACGACAAGATCATCAACAACCGGAACCGAAACTTCTTCGTATTTGCAAGCAAGCAACAAAGCTGTTAGGCTGCTAACACCACAAGTTGAGTGGATCCAAAACCTTGAAACGTTTCGTCCGCAAGCCTTGTGAGGTCGTTAGAATGTAAAGTTCACATTGTGCATGATGGTGATTAACAAGCACCGCCAATAAATAGACTCTGCCTCTACCAAAAAAAAAAAAAAAATAAATAGACTCTGCCAAAGTTCATGGATGATCTGAATTTTTTTTAAAAAGCAAGAACAGGTAAAGAAAAACTGAAACCAAGTCATCGGAAAGTGTTAAACGTTTGGTCGGTCAAAGGTAATACCACCATAACAGATTTGGAAAAAGAGAGCTTAGCCCATGTTTGGATATTATGGTGAGAAGGGTAAATGAGTTTTTGTATATGAAAAACATGAGTAAACAAGTATCGTTTCATACTTTCATTCATCCAATCGTTCTCCATAATTTCATATGTATATTTATCCTGAATCATCAACTTGTTTAACTATTGCTTGATCAACTTCAATCACCCGTGTCAAAGAGAATTCATTTGCTCTAGTACAAAATACAACTCAACCCATTCCACAATTTTAATAGACAGAACTATAGATTGTAGTAGATACAATAAACATGATTCATATTAGAGAAGGATTATGAGTCTTTCTCTGATGAAAGCTGCTTAGCGAGAAGGAGGAGGCCAGCTGTTGTGAAGCCTGACAAGACGGCTGACGCATAAAACATAGCTAGAAGAGACCCCTCTTAGAGACTGCGAAAAGAAGAACAACAAAAAACACATGATACAAATGTTAACCCTCAAAACAAGAGAATGCAAGTATAAAGCCACAAACCTTTGTGAGTAGCAATGCATTCTCATTTGCATACTGCAATGAGTTATCCGGTATGCTTTGGATTCCCTGACTGATTTGCCATGAAAGTATCCTGTACAATTCCAAGTATGAACTGTTTTACAATGTTGTTAAGCGACAGTTCTCAAGAAGTAATAAACAAGATCTCCACACATACCCAAACACAAATGCAATGGCTGCTCCGGCGTATGCTTTCTCTGGACTCACAGCAACCTGAAGCTCTCCGAACTGCAGTTTCAACCAGAAAAAAAAAAATCTCATCTGTAAAAAGTAGCTTCATTGAACGTAGAGGAGAAATCATATTATTATTATTAAGCATTACCTTAAACATCCTCGTGTTTGACATGGATTCATTACCGACTGAAGCAGGTGATGTATTTGCAGACAGGACCTCTCCAGTTGTAATCATCGCTTTAGCAATCTGTGAGTTCTCAGCAACTTTAGTTCTTGTAGGTATGGTTGATCATACAGACGAACCATAGATTGTATTATTGTGGCGGTTTAATTTGATAACTTAAGACTGGTAATCTGATGAATCGTGTAATCAAACAATAAGTATAAGAAACCCACACCTACTACCATCTCAGGCTGTACCTTCTGTAATTCACCTTGACCATACTGTCCCATGCCCTTGAACCTTTTTCCGGCAGATACCAGACGCCTCCCAAAGGCTGAAACAATAAAGAGGTAAAAAAATAGTTTTAGATGTAGAAAGATATGTACACCATATACTATAACGCTACTACTTATCTTGTTACCTGATTTGGCACCACCTGTTAATGAAGTTTCCAGTTCAGGAAGTTTCTTCACTAAAGTACGAGAAGTTGATGTGTCAGCTTGTTCCCAAGCACGGGAGAGATTGAGCAAGGTCTCCCCAAGCTCTTGACCACACTACAAAAGTAGATTTGAGAGGTAAGTCCCTCAAAAAATGTTTAAGGAAGAGATGCAAAGATGTTAGCTTTTACAAAAAGAAAAAAAAAATGAACACTACAAACGATTTAACAGCAAAGATGACATACAAACCACGGATGTAAGCGGTGGTGATCGAAGGAGAAGATCCTAAGATATAAGGGTCCTAGACGTTAACAGACATGTCTATAGCCCAGAAGAACAAAGAGGCCATATCATTAGTTGCTAGTCAAACAAGTTAAGCGTGAACACAAACAAGACGACAGTTCTATCAATCTTATAGAGATACCAAAGAAGACGAACAAGGAAGCGAAACAGCTTCTGCTATAAATATGGATGGAACTTTGTAAAGATGAAGCCATGTTCACATGATTTGTTGGTCCAATACTTAGCAGGAACTAACCTCATCGATGATGGGTCCATTGGAGAGATCAAAGGCAGCATCATTTAACTGAAAGACAAATAATCTAAAAATCACAAAAAGTTGTAAGCTTTGAGGAAACTGAAGTAGAATAGAGGCTTCCTTACATCGAGACGAAGATCACTTGGTAGCTGCTGGAAGTAGTCTGATGGAAGATCGAAACACTTCTGCAACAACACAACACACAACAAAGTTTCAATTTTTTTTGACTCATATCAATTATCAGAAAACAGATTTTTTTCAAGTTTTCATTACAACACACAACAAAGTTTCAATTTTTTTGGCCCAAATTGTCTCGTCTGAAGATTCACATTACCTGCAGCGAGCTTTGGCCTGTTGTTGGATTCACAGAGAAAATAATTAAATGAAATTTCAAGGATAGTAACCAGAAAAAGCTCACATACAAACTCAAGTCTAGGAGATACTTACGGCTCAATATCGTGTAACTTAGCCACTAAAGTCTCCAAATGTTGCACTCCATTACTGTATGCCTTCTTTACACGGTCTCAATTCCATGATGAAAGACACTCGATTTTTGGTAGCTTGAATCATTGCCATAGCTGTTTTTAAAACTTGCGTTCGGTCTACAGACATTAGGACATCGTTTATATATTGTCAAACTTTCCTAATGGTATGAGATTGACATATTTAGCATTTAATTTCCAACTTCTCACGCAAGTTTTCGAATATAATGTAAGGAAAGTAAATAACCTAACCAAATTTTAAAGATACGATTCTCATAAATAATACCTAACACTTGCACGCCGAACAAAAAATAAATAAAAAAGAAAATTAAAATAAATCAACCAATCAGATTAGAAGAATAAATCTGAGAAGGTCTCTATGAGTGCCACGTGTCAAAGTGACTTCTCTTTTATTGTATAGGGGGATTTGTTGACATTATGTATACTTTATATCATTTTTTACCTTTTTATTATTATAATAAATTACACAATTACACTAATCATATAATAAAAATTTAGATTTTTTTATATATGTTGTATTTTGAAATTTTCAAAACGAGTATAAATTACTAAAACTGTTAAAAATCTCACATAAATTTTTGTGATCAAGGTATAATGTTTTTTATAATAAGTTACAATGTTTATAAAATCATATGAATAAATAATTTTATTTTAATAGGTATTTATGTTAATATATATATATATATATATCATATTGTATGAATAAGTAATATTATTTTTAAAATATTTATAATTTAAAATTTAACTTGACTTTTTTTATAAAATTACTTTTTATTTAAAAAAGTTTTTAAAAATAGAATTTTCTGATATTATTAAACAAATAAAGAAATTATATTAAATTAATTTTAAAACTTTATATATTCTAAATGGAAATATTCTATCAACTGCTTCTTAAGAAAACATTAGGAACTTGATAATGCTCTACCAATTAAGCCCTGTGACACTCCGTTTATTTTCCATCACTTGAACACTGAAAATTGAAAAGATATATGAACTGGACCCATTAAATTCTATGTATTGATCTATAGTTCTAATTACAAGTGTTTCTGATCCTACGTATAGATAATTATATAAAACTCCAAATTTCCAAATACATATAAAAACAATCATATGTAAATTTTAAATTTGTCAATACTAAAATTTTATATTTAAATTACATGCACTTATCCTGCGCAAGGTGCAAGTCTTATCCTAGTACTAAGTATTCCTAATTATGCTTGTAATACTACAAATATACATTGTTATACTAGTTATATTGAGTTATACTGAATATTTCCGAATTCAGATCTGAAGGAAAAATGAATAAAAAACGCGAAACTTATTCAAATCCTTCAAATGAAGAACATGAATCCTAAAATATATTAAAAATCCAGAACATAAAGAACCCTAAAATAAAAAACTCTCAAAATATCTAGAATTGTAAATCTTGGATTGTAGATCCTTAATCATAGGTTCAACCTTGTATCTCAGGTAGAGCCGCCGTCTTCTCTTTTCTGTTTTCGTCACCTTCTCCATCGTCACACAGGTACTGAACCACCGCGAATTTTTTTTTTCCAGATCTAATCTATGGGTTAACCGAAAAAGATAGAAGAAGAAACAAGAAGGAACAAGGAAGAACTACAGTCACAGTTTTGTTTCTGAATTGCGATTACATATTTTGCAGAGAAATTGTAGAATAGTTTGCAGAGAAAAAAAGTAAAGAAGAGAGAAGAAGAAGAAAACATAAAAAATAATAATGATTGACGGCTAGCTTTTCTATCTGCTAATGACATTAGGTTAAAAAATCAGTGAGGGTAAATATGTAATTTACATAATTTTCAAATTTAAAATAAATCAAAATAATATTATAAATAGACTGGGTCTTTGAGAGATTGAGTCATAACATATGGGGGTAATAGAGCACTTGACTCCAAAAGAATATACCAAGTATTTAAACATACGACATAAGAAATCTTTGATGACGGTTAATTACTCGAACACCAATCTTTAAACAACTATCTAATCTCTTCGAAAAATAATATAACAACCTAATTTCCGGCCAAGTAAATTCAGCCCAACCTAATTAAAAGGGGCATACTAGCTGGGTCATGTCCCAAGGGACACCTCGTTCCTGGCAAACCCTATATCTGCATGACATTATTCACATATAAGAAAAACACTTTAGGTATACGAATCGGAACAGGCCTGATCAACCTTAATACAATGTCGAAAATACCTCAGCCCCTGCGCAGAGGCCTCGAGCCGGAAATCTACGCAGGGGCCACATGTACTTGTGCACCAATTCCTGCATAAAATTCGCCCCGAGCTAACACGATGCAGGGGACATGACGTATAACTGCAGAGTACTGATATCAGCCCCATGGTTTCAGGGAGCAGACGGTGCACAAAACTCTGGGAGAATTTCTATCCTACTTATCCAGACATGGAAAGTAGCAAGTTTGGTACGTGGCTCACTACTTCCAAGTAGACCCACCCCAGCACAAATATATAAGAATGAGAGTGGCTTTCTGCAGAAAGCAAAGTGCATTATTACAAGATCTCGATAGTGGCCTACTTCCGAGTGGCAGAATGCGAATCCTTACCCGAGATCGGTAGTGGCCCAACTAAGAGGGGCAGAATACGATCTCGATGAAAATAACCTCCTGGTTCTAGATGTTGAAAATTCTGAATTTTCCATTCTATATCTACTTACTCGAGATCGGTAGTGGCCCACCTAAGGAGGGTAGAATACGATCTCGATGACAATAACCTCAAGGTTAAACCACAAACTTCTGAGTTTCAGATGTTCAAAATCCCGAATTTTACATCTCATGTCTACTTGCCTCCGGGTCCAGACCTTAGATTTTACTCAGCAACCCCGGGGTTCTGAACAAATCCCTCGATACTACAAGGAAAGACCCTCGGGTCCCGAATAATCAACTTGGATTCATGAATTCCAATATCAAACTTCAGGGTTAAATTATGAACTTCCGAGTTCCCAGTATTCAAAACCCCTAATTTTAAACCTCGCACTCCTCGCCCCCGGGCCCAGCTAGAAACCTCAGGGTCCAAGAAAAACCTTCGGGCTGAACATAGAGTCTCCATGTCCAACCAGGATCTCCAGGCCCAGACGGCAAAGCCTATCGATTTAGAACTATGAGCTCCCACGTTTTAAAGAGTCCTCCTATCTCCATGTTTGAGTAAGGGAGCACAAGGCCTAGTCAAAGATCTCAGGATCTAAACAGGGTTCTAGGAATCCTCCAAGACTCCTGGGTCCTAAGCATTGAAAACTCCGTGTTTTTCCTCCTTGCCTTCGGATTCTAATAACCGTGCTAATGTACTTCCAGGGGCCAACTCCTAGGCGCCTGTTCTCAGTATTAAGCAAGGACCCCTACAAAAATCTACAAGAATCGGAGTCGGGGAGAATCTTCGAGTCCCCTAGGACTTTTTATTTTTGATCACCCCTCAAGAAGAATCCGAGAACCCTCTCCTCGAACTACTTAACCATTCATAAGAAGAAGACAAGAGAACATATAGAAACCAAGCGCAAGATTTTCGAAGCAAAAGCTGGAAAATATTATTAATGGCTGCTAAAAGTCTTCACTTCGCGACAAAAAGCATCGACGAAGAGTACTAGTAATAAGCAATAATAAACAAAAGGCAAAAACAAGAAAATCCGAATCTAAAACCCTCCTGGAAAGGATGCCCGAGGAATTCCTCCAGTCCAACTCTCTCCTCCTCACCCTAAAGACAGTAGCCGACGGTACTCCTCTGCAAGATCCCAACGGCTAGTGTACCTCTCCGACCATTCATTCATAAGCTCCCAGCGAACAAATTCCTTGGCTCGCTGAACTGCTAGAGCATGGTGCGATACTACATTCCGGAGCTGTGCCCGAAGAAAAAGAACTTCCTCATGTAAAGTAATGTGACGACAGAGGCCAGTCGAATCAGCAAAATGCCTCGGGGAAAAGGAATGAGAGGAGACAACAATCGGAGGACCCGCTGGAGCTACTCGCGTCATGGGCATATTAAAAGGCCGCCTTCTTCCGCCTTCTAAACATCTGACGCGTCTGCGCAGTTCTGCACTTAAAGGCTCCAAAAGACACCAAAATCACCATATTTCTCCAGGACGTACCTGAACCTTTTAATACTCTAAATAGACTCCAAAACATAGATAATTATTATAAAACATATCAATACCATGACCAAAAACGGGTCAAAATCATGGTATATCAACTCCCCCAGACTTAACCTTTTGCTTGTCCTCAAGCAAACTTTAAGCTAGTCTTTGAAAGAAGTTTAAAAACAGCAGGGACTCAATCAAAATCTCAACTTTAAAATCATCACCTCTTACTTTGTTGCAAGCCACATCTCATATCTATCAACTACAGAAGTACATTATACCATATCCTAGCTTAGCAATCAAATACATCTAGCCAATCAACTTAAACATTCCTTGTCTGTCTATCCCCTCTACTGATTTCATTTATGCATAAAAATAAAGGTTTAGGCTTTACCTTGGGAGTATCAATCAAGGAACACCTGGATTGAACTCAAACAAGTTTCAGGCATTCTCATCCTGGTTCCCTTTCTCTCTTTATCCCCCCTTTTCTGAATCCCAATTCTTTCTTTCTTTCTTTTATATCAATCCCGATGAACAACTAATGTTCATCTTATTGTCTTTCTACTTTTTGTAGCTCTTTTGACAAAGTGTAGGCGAATAGTGGGGCCATAGGTAATGTACCTCTCCCTCGCTTTCACAATGTGTGATCATCCCTTTGATTTAGAATAGTGGGGTCATGGGTAATGTACCTCTCCCTCTGCCTCTCAGGAAATCATCTCAATCTTTTATTTTCTAGGGATGCCAAAGGAAAGAGAGAAGGAAACCAAAAATTTTGAGACTTTTACCTTCCCGACTTGCAGAAGGATTCCGATCCCTTGTATACCAAGCCCCAAGACAAGCAATAGATGTCAGGTTAGGTTGGAAATCAGCTTTGGTTCTTCCAGACAATCATGAAAGTGTTGTCATAGGTGATCGGTGATCCACTTTAG